TCTAAGAGTTACACTCTTTCTTCTATGAGATGAAATTGTTATTAAAATTATTTTTTTTATATAAATATTTCTACCGTCCTGTGTTTAAATTAGAAACAATTTATGGGATTTATGACAGTTAAATAAAAACAATGAAATGACAGAAACCTCCTTCGACAGAGACATAGATAGTTTGAATCTTAATGAAACAAAACAAAAATAAACAGAAAGCACCAAGAAATATTTTTTTACCCACAGGCAAATGATTTTTCTTTAATTTAAAAATAAAGGCCAAACGTGATAAGAAGTATTCAACTTGCATTCCCAAGAAAAATAAAATAGATATCCATGCAACTGAAATTCATTCACAGAACGAATTCAAAGGCAAGTCATGCGCCGAACCTTATCATGATAGTTGTTGTTGCGTTTCTATAGTTTCAGTAAAAACCTGTCAAATATTTTGTGGCTGCTCGTCTGTCATTCGCCTTATCTCCCTTTGCGGGTTTCCGCCACAAATTGAAATACACCTCCATTTTCTTACGGTTCAGTATACAGTCCTGGTTTTCTCGTTTTATCTATGTTCGTAGCAACGAGTATTGTCGTATGTCATCAGCACCACCATTATATCATTATTTATTTATTCCTCGGATTAGTTTTTATCTAAACCAATCAATCACCCGTTTGCCTTGCACTATATATATATATATATATATATATATATATATATATATATATATATATATATATATATATATATATATATGCGATGTATAAATTGTCGTCTAAATTACGAAGAAATATTTTAATGAAAATAATACTGACATCTCATTTTAAGATATATGCCAAAATTACACACACGTATCTTGAAATACTAAAGAGTAAATTCATTCAATACATCGCTATTGGCATCAAACACAGACTCCGGACGACCCTTCTGGAGGGTCGCCTTGTTTATCTTGGTGAATGCTGCCATAATCTTTCCATTATGTTCATCTTTGATATTACAAGTATTTTTATTGGTGTCTTGCTCAACATCAAACCGCTCATAATAATCAAGAAGGTCTGCGGAGTTAGGTGGCCATATGGAAGGGGTCATGTAGTCGCAGAAATTGCCTGACAGCCATGGTTGGGTTCTCCTGCTTGCGCTTGTGCTGCTACCAGGCATAGGGTATTCTAGCAGCCACTGTCTTGACCCTGAGCAGCAGTACCTTCTCAAGGCACTTAATGTAGGTCTCCGTATTGAGTCTGATGCCTTCTGGATTTCTTTTCTTACCAGAACGATCAGAGTGAGTTTGTATGACGTGACATGCCTTCGTAGTCACCATTAGACTCATCCAACTCTTGCCGAATCCACTGATTGAAACCCAAACACTCTGAAATGCATGTATTGGAACATCTGGTGCGAATTCCAAGCAGGACAGCATGCCGTTTCAAAGTTTCTGGCGAAGGGAATTGCATCATGATGCTCCTTTTCTCACAGACGGTGCCTAATTGGCCCCACTATACTGCACAGTCGATAAAATCTGGAGATATTTAAAACTGAGCACTACCTGAAATACTATGTGTTACTTTTGATTATCTGCATATCGTGTATATTTGGCTGTTATGCACGTGAATGGTATAAATTTAACAGTGTATGCGCCATTATGGGTACAGTGGGTTTCATATATGTGTAGCCCAGAGTCACTTTTTTGGCATGTGAATCTTTCACTTACACCCTTGTGCAAATTAATTGAAACAAAACAAATAATACCGTTATTTTTTGCAACGAAAAACCCAGTATTTCGCATGTTCATTTCACGAAGTCTTTCGTTGCAGATTGACCACAAATTCTCGATTGGATTTAAATCAGGAGAGTTTGAGGGCCAGTCTATAGGACATTGATTTGCTATCTGGTAAGGCTTGCGAGTGCAATCGTACAGCGTTACAATTTTGGTACACTTCCTTGGAGTAACGTCCATCGCAGACCATGGCAGAAGGACAACTAATCGACATTCAAGACAATAGTGTCTCGGTGTGATAAAAATCAGATGCAACCACCGATGACGCACTATTTGTCATACACCCCGAAAATAGATTCATATTACTGCACACTACTGCAAATGAACTAATGTGAGGAAAAAATAGAAATCTTTTACACCCTGTCACTCTAGTGGGTCTAAAACTGACACCCAAACACTCTATACACTATGGTAAAAGAAAGCGTTTTTTTTTTCAATTAATTTGTAAAGGGTGTAAGTAAGATTGATAATAATAATAATAATAATAATAATAATAATAATAATAATAAACTACGAGAAGCGAATAGGAGTTACACATCAAAAGAGACGTGCATTGAAAAGATAAAAGCATTGGACTTTTAAAACCTGTACATGTCCACCGTTCTATTGAATACTTCTAATAAATTCTGCATTGTCAGAGTTCAAAGAAACCAAAAAAATTTAAAAAAAATCACTATTAATATTCGGACTATTCTTGTTGTTACCACAACGTTTCGGCCGTTGTGTCTCCTCAGCCTTCCTCAGGTGTATATCGATCTTAGTAATTAACAGGGATTTCTGAACTGAAACCTTTTGTTTCATCTACGGGGGCGGGTAGACTGTACTCATTCAGATCTTCTCGTGTCTAGGAATATCATCTAGTTCTTCTTATTTATTGCCGTTGAGTCATTGTTCGTCTTTTTCCACTGAGTGCAAGTACACCCTGCCTGACACATGGATTTAACGCACAACCATATCAATTTTCCAAATTAAGGCTTTTATCCATTAGGCCAGTATCCTATGGTTCAATTGCAGAACAGTACTAAATAAAAATAAGAAGTAGAAGATATCCCTCGATCTACTCTTGCAGATTAAATAAAGTGTTCAGTTCAGAATTCCCTGTAGGTTATCCAGATCTATATGCACCTGATGAAGGCTGGAGGGTACAACACATGAAACGTTGCTGTTTATACATTTTATGATCATATATGATTTCACATATTCATATGTTTCACATATGATTTCACATATATTCATATATTTCATATATGATTTCACATATATTCATATATTTCATATATGATTTTACAAGTTTATATGATTTCACATATTCATATGTTTCACATATGATTTCACATATATTCATATATTTCATATATGATTTTATAAGTTTATATATGATTTCACATATTCATATTTCGGATATGATTTCACATATATGCATATAATTCGTAAATGATTTTATATATAACTTTTTATATGATTTCACATATTCATGTTTCACTTATGATTTCACATATATGCATATATTTCATATATGATTTGATAAGTTCATATATGATTACACATATTCATATGTTTCATATATTATTTCACATATATGCATATATTTCACAAATGGTTTTATATATAAGTTTATATATGATTTCTCATATTCATGTTTCACATATGATTTCGCATATATTCATATATTTCATATATGATTTTATAAGTTCATATATGATTTCACATATTCATGTTTCACATGTGATTTCACATATATGCATATATTTCATAAGTGATTTTATATATGTTCATATATGATTTCACATATTCATGTTTCACTTATGATTTCACATATATTCATATATTTCATATATGATTTTATATAAGTTCATAAATGATTTCACCTATTCATGTTTCACATATGATTTCCCATATGCATATCAATATATGAATATATGATTTTATATATAAGTTCATATATGATTTCATATATTCATATGTTTCATATATGATTCCATATGTTTATAATCCTATATCTCATATATGAATTCATATATTGTTATGCTCCAGGTTAGGGCCAAGGAAGAACAACACGAACACAAGAGTAGAAATAACGAAGGTATATTACACGAAATAATAATACAAGATGTGGAAGGTGTCAGTATGACTGTCAGTCTGGTTTGGAGTGAACTACTATCGGCTCGACTCGATTCGATATTTACTTGCCCCCCCTCCCACGAGGGAAAGATGTGGCATAAGGCCGAGTTTCACGTAGGTTTTCCGAGCTCGTAGGCTCGGCCATAAAATGCCCGTAGAACCCGTATAAATGAGATCGGGTTGGTCATTTCTCCCCGAACGAGATTCTGCCCTTCGGCGGAGCCTCGTCCGGGTTCCTTTCTGGTCAGAGGCAGAGAGTTCGACCGTCAAGTCGAGAAGCTCAGCTTGATTCAGTATCTAGCCACCCCCCGGACGAGGGTTGCATGCGACACAAGGGGTCATTTTTTATCGTGGGTTTCTGAGCCCGTAGGCTCAGCCAAAAATATGCCCGTATGACTCGTAAAAACGAGATCAGGGTAGGTCATTCACCCCGAACGAGATTCTGCCCTTCGGCGGAACCTCGTCCGGGTTCCTTTCTGCTCAAAAAGCAGAGAGTTCGACCGTCAAGCCGAAAAGATCGGCTGAAAAGCCAGAGGGTTTTCGACCGTCAAGTCGAGAAGCTCAGGCATTGATTCTGCCCTTCTCTCTTGAGAGGCGTAGTATACATAGTGTTAGGAAGAGTTCATTCTGTAGTTATAGGTAAGGACCCATAACATATATGATTTAATACATACATACATATATACATATATATATATATATATATATATATATATATATATATATATATATATATATATGTTTCATATATGATTTCGTATATGATTGCATATATTATGTCGCATATATGATTTATATATATTCATATGTTTCATAAATGATTCATATATATTCATACTTTTTCTTATATGATAGTATATATTCATATTCCTATATCTCATATATGAGATCATATATGAGTTCATATATGATTACTTATATTCATATGTTTCATATATGATTCATATATTTCATAGTCATATTCACACTGGCAATTTATGCGATTGGAAAGCCTTTATAAGAAAAACATGAGGTTAGTGGAAACCAATATTACAACGGTGGTGATTCTCGCAAGATAAAAAAGCTGAAAGCCAGTCATTTATCAGTAACTTGTGGGTTGAGAAAACTAGTAGTCACACA